ACACACTTGTGCATGGGGAGGAGAAGAACCAAGCGTTGACAGAGCATAATCTAGGCGGAGAGATACAAGTTTTGGCGAATATTGACCATAAAGAGAGACTTCTTCATCATCTTCAAGCATCCTCAAGATCCTTCGGTGTTTCCTCAAGTTCAAACTTAGATTTGTTCTTGAGAAGAGTGTTTATCTTACCTCGCTAAGATATTCGCTTTTGTTCTTGTTTCCACGTTGAAACATCAACATCAACCTTCTTCAGATCCAACTTGGATCGTGAATCGGTGGTACACGGATTAACGCATCCCCGGCATAGGTAAAGATCTCAAACAAGCATAAGCTAATAAATAATTTCTGTGTGTGCTTCCAGGGAGAACCTCTTGTTGTTTTCTTTGTTAAGAGAAGTTTTACAAGTGTAAAGCTTACTCTTTTGTATCCATCAAATCAACTGTAATGGATTCTACAATGAAACTCATTCCCGACGCAAACAATAGATAATGAGGGTGTAGATTATAATAAACATCGATATTTGCAAAGTTACCCCTTAAATCTCAATATTTGCACCCCTCAAACCATCAATTTTAAATGAAATGCCCCCAAATCAATCACTCATCAACTATGATTAGCTAATTTGTAATAAAAAATAAAAATTATCAACAAAATAATCAAATTTTTACTTATTAAGTTGATTTATTGATTTTTAGGGTACTTTTCCTCAAAATCGATGATTTGAGGGGCAATTTTGCAAATACTATGATTTTGGGGATAACTTTGCAAATACCCATGATTTAGGGGTATATATGCAAATAATAAGAAATTTAAGAATTAAAAAATCTAAGTCGAAGGTAGGGATCGTTAAAACTAGGGATGAGAGGAGGTCAAAGGAAGAAGAAGAGGCTAAGCTTCTACTCCATATTTTCTCTTTCGAGCGCCCTCTTCCTTTAGGAAGGGCTATGGAATTTGTTATCCAGATGATGTGACTGATATGTCTTGATGGGACATGAAGTAACATTTGTTTGGTGATGCAGAGCGGTAGTAAAATATCAAAATTTACAAGGAGGCTTTTCGAATCCACAAAGTAAATAACCTTTTAATCCATGAAGAGCTCTCCATCCCCAAGGAAATATGAAAAATGGAATATTTATTAATCAAAAAGTAATAGCTCTATGGTCTAAAATCCTATTCTTAAATAGAAAGATTCTTAATGGGATTGAAATTACTATAAATAGAAAGTATCAAAACTACCCTAAAATACTCACTATGGTTGAGGAACTAATTTGTCAAAGTTGAGATGAAAGCAGATTTCTAATCAAAACTCACTCAAACGTCAATGTAAATAAATAACCAAAAATTGACACAATAGTCCAATAACTCTTAATCCGGACGGAATTGACAGAATTTTCATGAATCTGATGTCCGCTTTGTTTGATGGTTTGTTCGGGTCTGTCTTTAAAAAAAGGATTTTCATTTATTATATGAATGATTCTAGCCTATGGATTAGGAAATGTGGCTTCATATTCATGTGCAAGTCAAATATCATACTCGGGTCCCGCTTAATATGCATGAATTATATACCCATCAAGAACCTTAATGTGCGTGTTCTAGGTATGACAAGAGACCTAAAACAATTACTCATAAAAATAGGCATGGTTTTGCATAACAAGCCATTTAGGAAGATAGGATTTTGCAGGAACAAGCAATTTTTGAAATGAACTTGCAAGAGTATCTGATTACATTAAAAACAAGTAAACAAAAACAAATTAAGTACACCGTTGGAAAAAAAAATTGTAGAAAAAAAAAAGAACATTTTCCCCTGTTTCTGAACTAAGGGGCTGTTTGGTTCGCTAAAAATATTGGAAATGAAAGGAAAAGGAAACGCTTTTTTAAAACCATTTCCATTTCTTGTGTTTGGTTCACTTTTTATTGTGAAAAAGAAATGAGATGAGATGAGTTGTCACCATATTATTGGATGATGTGAGTTATTTTAAAATAAAACTTATTAGAGGTTCTTTTCTTGTGTTTGGTTGGCTAAAAAATAAGGAAAAGAAAAAGCTTTCCTTGTTTAGATTCTTTTATTGTGATTGGTTCCTTCTTAAAATTAAGAAAAGAAATGAGATGAGATGATTTGTCATTATATTATTGGTTGATGTGACCCAATCTTTTGGAAAGCCATTTCCAAGTTTTTTTGGAGGATGTGGAGAGAGAAAAAATGGAGATGAGAGGAGATGAGTTGTCAATTTTTTATTGGATGATGTGAGTTATTTTTAAAGATGAGATGAGATGAGGTGATGTGACTTGGATGATGTGACCCATTTCTTGTGTTTGATTTATTTTTAAAAGTAAGAAATGAGATAAGATGAGATGAGTTGGGGGATAAAAATAATATTTTATTAGATGTTATGGATGAGTTGGATGATGAAAATAATATTTTATTGGATGTTGTGGGTGTTTTTTTGGAATGGAAATGGAATCTAATAATATTATATTACATTTCCAAAAAACTTTCCATTTCTTGGTTTTTAGGAAACGAACCAAACAGCCCTAAGAGTCAATGGAACAAAGAACAACAATACAGCATCCACAAATCAAACTTCACGGTATCATTATTCTCAGAAAAAAACATAATAAAACAAATGAATCAGAATTTCATGTAAAAGAATGACAGTAACATTGAATCACATACATCCTTCAGGATGATTTCACTTATTTGAGACAGAGATTCAAGTTGCACAGTTCATGACATGATCAAGCTATATTCAGCCATAATATCCCAATATAGGACTCGAAAACTTGCCTGTTGAAACATTATGATACAAGGACCCAGTTAATACAACTAAATTTTGGTATAGAAACTTCTTGCCTATCTCTTTTGCATGTATTATTATACTTGGAGGATACTTCTTCGATATGCTTCCTCCATTTTTTTCAAGAATGGCTCAGCTGCTAAGCATTAAATGGAACAAAAGAATAATGTTAGAAGACCAACGGTCAGCCTCTCCCGCCACCGAATTAACCGATAAATGTTAAAAGCTTATGGTTGCGGTAGAGTTCATGGTTAGAGATGCCATGAGTCCAAGAACAATTTGTTAGTTTTTGTTAGCTTTCTTCTGTGAAGTGTTATTCATCATTTCTTGCTTCTGCTCCAGTCCTTTTGGTTTTTATTACCTTGCTCGCTGCGATGTGTAGCCTTGCGAAGAGAGGCCTTGGTGCTCTTAATGTTCGATCGAATCCTCTGACACACACAAAACCTGGGGAATTTATAGAAAATAAACAAAAGTCACATTTCAGATTAAGTTAAAGTATCATCTTGAAGCATAAAGGGAGCACAATAGGAACATGTAGTATGTAGAAGAACAAACAGAGAAGAAAAATTAATCTAAAAAACATAACTAGACTTCATCCTTAAAACTAGTGCAAATATTTTTGGGTTTGTCTCACAAAACTCCCCTGAAATTTGGGTGTCTCATATAAATTTGGGTGTCTCATATAACCAATCTAAAGTTTAAACTTTTCTTAAAGGACCCCCACCTTTATTTGCCAATTGTTAGGAGAGAGAAGCTTAACCATTGATTAGAGAGGGATTACATATATATAAAGTTTGTAACGTCCACACGAAATGGCTGTCCAATAACCCACATATCCACATACTACATAAGTCATAACATCTAACACTCACCCTCAAGCTTGAGCATATAGATCTATCACGTTCAGCTTGTTACACAAGGACTGAAAGTGGTTAGAAGCAGCCTTAGTATACATATATGCAAGCTATGTAGAAGAGGATGTAAACGGAGTGGTAATCTGGCCTCTTAGAACTGCATTCCTGATAAAGTGACAATCCATGTCTATATGCTTGGTTCTTTCATGGAACACTAGGTTGCTAGCTATGTTGATTATCACAATACATAGGCATAGGCTCCTTTGGAGGGAACCCAAGCTCTGTCAAAAAGACCTTATCCACACCATCTTACAAGCAGTATGTGCTATAGCTCTATATTCAGCCTCAGCACTGAGCCGTGACACAACATTATGTTTCTTCTCCGTGACGAGATTTCCTCCCACAAAAGTACAGTACCCAGATGTAGACTTCATATCTCCTTTGTCACCAACATAGCCAGTGACTTCAAGATGTTCACGACAATTGTAGAGTAAACCTCTACCAGGTGCATTCTTCAAATAGGACAACAAATGTAAGGCAGCTTTCCAATGAACCTCTTTGGGTATATGCATAAACTGACTGACAAGTCCAACAGCAAATGTAATGTCAGGTCGTGTCACCATAAGGTATATCAACTTCCTAACAAGTCATCTATACCTTCCAGCATTTTCAAGTATCTCAGATGACTCAGCCCACAGGTCCAAGCTAGGGTCTATAGGAGCACGTTCTGCTTTGCAACCGAGCATTCCTGTTTCCTACAGCAAGTTAAGCACATATTTCTTTTGGGACAATGCAATTTTATCTTTCTGATGTGCAATTTCAATTCCCAAGAAATACTAGGTCAGCCCATGTCTTTAGTTACGAAGTGTTTCTTGAGGAACTCTTTGCTCTCCTTAATACCTGCACTCTAACTGCCAGTCACTAGAATATCATCTACATAGTCAGCCAGGATCACACACCCTATGGATTCTTGCTTGATAAACACTGAATGATCTGAATTACACCTCCTGAACCCGGCTTGCATAGCTACTTCACTGAATTTTGTGAACCATGCAAGCGGACTTTGCTTGAAACAATATATTACTTTCGTCAGCTTGCAAACTTGAGTCTCCCCGTGAGCAATATATCTTGGGGGTTGCTCCATATACACTTCTTCAGTAAAGTCGCCATATAGAAAAACATTCTTGACATCAAGCTAATAGAGAGGTCAGCGTTGATTGACAGCCAAGGAGAACAATATTCTGATTGAATTCAGACAAGCAACCGGAGAAAAAGTCTCAAAGTAATTTACACCATAAGTCTGTGTAAATTCATGTGCCACAAGTCTTGCCTTGTATCTCTTAATATTGCCATCAGGACGATATTTGATTGCGAATACCCATCTGCAACTGATAATCTCAGACTTGGGGCTAGCGGTACAAGTTCCCAGGTCCCACGAGATTGTAATGCTGACATCTCTTCATCCATTACAATTTTCCACTCAGGTACACATAATGCCTCCTGATAGTTCGTGGGTATAGAAACAAATGACAAAAACAAAACAAACATCTAGTCGTAGGATGCAATTAATAAAGACAAAATGGGACAATGTATGGGCACTAGATGACTTTGCAATAGGACGTGTACCTTTCCTCGGTGCAATAGGGAGGTCACTATCAAGAATAACGATAGGAGAAGTTGTGTTGTAAGGACCTACGTCAGAAGATGGAGGATTGGAGGGACTATCAAGGCTAGCCTGATTTTTCTTCTCCCGACTAGAGTAAAACTTTAAATTCTTGTCTGAGGGATTGATAGTAGAAGAAATAGAAGGAGATGTTAGAACAATATCCTCAACCGGCATATCAAGTGGCAAACAGATATGGACATCATCTGGTGTAGGACTAGAAAAAGGAACACTCTCAAAGAAGGTGACATCAGCCAAAACAAAGTATTTTCAGTTGATTGGATCAAAACAACGATGACCTTTCTGAGTGCGAGAGTAAGCAACAAGCATACATCTGATGGAGGGAGGAGAGAGCTTGTCCAGATTGAGTATCATAAACAAGACACACACAGCCAAAGACGTTCGGTGGTAGAGGGAACAATTTCTTTTGAGGAAATAGAAGACAATGGGGAGCCTGATCATGAACAGAAGAAGGCATTCTATTGATAAGATGGCAAGCAGTAAGTACAACATTAGTCCACAAAGTCTTAGGAACGTTCATTTGCATCATGAATGTATGGGTAACATCCAACAGATGACGATGTTTACGCTCAGCAACACCGTTCTGTTGGGAGGTTCGAGGATAAGTAGGGGTGCTAAACCGTATCAATATCTGAGGAAATATCAGTAACCATATTCGTTAGGATATGGATATAGTCACTCAAATCTATAGCCGATAGGATATGGTTACAGATATGGTTTTATAGTGAAATATCTGTATCCATATTTGAAATATCCGAATACATATTAGTCATACTCTTACGATAGTTTTGATTCTTAAATTATGGATTTGTGGTAAATTTTGATGATCAAGATATCTAATCTTACCTTTTTAGTTATAATGAACATATTAACGACCTCTTTTGTATCACGTGAACTATATTTTTCTCAATACTATCTAATTTTCTCATATCCGTTTTGTATTCGCATACATATCTGCTTGTATGTCTGCATCTATATCTGTAACCATATTCGATTTTAGCAGATATGGATATGAAAAATTAGATATGGATATCTGTAACAATATTCGAGCCGTATCTAGACCAAATGTACCCCTAAGGACAAGAGGCTTGATGGAGAATGCCTTAGGGTTCGCAAAGAAGGGAGACATGCCGTATCTAGACCTAATGGAGCATTATGGGTAGCAACGAGTGTGACGGCTTTAGCGGACTGGATCAATTTGTCATACTCAGCCTCAGAGATAGTGACAGAGTTTTGTCACTTCAAGTTGTTCCTATAATGGATCAGTAGATACAGCAGCTTGCTGAGCCCACTCTGGCTTGCCAAATTATCCCAACACTTTTCAGAGATATGGTTGGTGCGGTCACAATGGTCACACTTTCGATTCTTACGACCAACGCCATGTCCTCCCCCCGAGTCACGACTGCGACCACGTTCACATCCATAACTGACCAAGTCAGACTGATCGGTGTGTGGAGAAGAAGCGTCAGAGATCCGCAGAACATGAGAAAAGGCTGTCCACAATGATGGTATAGTGTCACCTCTAAGGATCTGTCCACTTATCTAAGAGGCGATGTCGGGCTTGAGTGCAGACAGGAATTTTACCATCGCAAGTTCTTCACGATACTCCCTCACCTTGGCGATATCACCAACAAACGGTTGGTAGACCTCCAACTTATCTAGTAGTGCCCGAAAAGGGGTATAGAGGTCTTGAGCTGATTGGTCTCCTTGCTGTAGAGTGAATAGCAGATCACAGAGTTCACATACACGTGAGATGTTTTTCTCGTTGCCATAGGTACTCTTTAGTGTATTCCAAATCTTCTTCGTCGGCTTAAGCATCATCAGACCACGAAAAATATTTTCCTCCATAATGTTCACAAGCCAGGAAATCACCACAGTCATTAGCAAACCAGTCTTCGTAGGTGGCATCTTTCGCATCAGGTGGATCTTGAGTAATGTGCTTGATCTTCCGATGAGCACTAAGAAACACTTCGAACGCTTGGGCCCACAAAAGATAGTTCTTTCCATTCAACTTGATGGATGTGTCGCTGAGATTCCTCAGCCACGCATCATGAGAGGTATTGGAGGAAGACGCCATAAAATGTAGGCAGCATCCAGGGACACATAAACAAGCACGGTTAGTCATAAGGGGGTCATGCACAACATAGGAGAACCCAGAGTAGCAAGAAGTGTTGGATATTAATTTTTTAATCAAAAAAACCACACATGGACTGCTACCTAAAATTAGGCTGCCAATTTTTTGTTGAAATTAACATAAAGTGGTGGGCCCCATCATAAGAAAATTAAGACGTGGGCCCCACATGCATAGAAAATATATTATTTTATTAGTGTATAGTATTTTTCCAAACGCTATAAATAGATCTCAAATCCTTAAAAAAAATTATTCCAAAAACAACAATCAATATACACAGATATAGATTATAAAATAGCTGGTACTTATAGGAATTTTGCCTGATAGATCGAGGAGATCTTTTGCTTGATAGATCGATGAGATCTTTGCCTTATAGATCGAGGAGATCTTGACAGTACTGGGTCGATGCACACCAGAGTACTGGACTGCTATTCCTGAAAGCAATTTGGCCTTAAGATCCTTGCACCGGAGTAGGTCAAATAATACTTTAAACACAATATTTTACAAACGCACAGCAGCTGAGTTGAAAAATTTTAAATTACTATACTTTAGTTTTCTGTTCAGTTTTTGTTGTTATATATCTGTATTATTCAAGTTTTAACCACAGGCGCCAACAATCTTAAAGCATTATTTTGATGTACCATGGATCCTGCGAGGACTCTTGGAGTGGACTGTCTTAAGTTAGAGAACTTTAACGGTTCCAACTTCAACGCATGGCGTCGGAAAGTAATCTTCAGGATGCAACTCCTGAAAATCTACTATGTGGTTTCTGAGG